TGTGTCATCTGAGACAGCAGGCAGTCCAGAGGTGATGGGATCAAGTGACTGGGGTGGAAGTGGAACATTTATGCTAAAGGTTTGTTGGTTGTCATTTAATGAAGTACCTGTGGAAACTGAACTTGGATCTGGGTAGCTGTATCCATTTTCATCTGCAACATTCTGATTTCCTGAAAATCCCACATTGGATGTATTATCATCAGTAAGGAGTATTTCATTTCCCTGGGCATTGTTATTTACTTGGAATACTTGGTTGCCTTGGATTTGTTCATTCTGATATCCTGAATTACCTTGGATACTTGGATTAAAATCGTTAGTACCTGTATTTCCAGTCAGAAGAGCAGTGTTTTCAAAATTGTTTAAATTACTACCTGAAGTTGGAGTTCCAGAGTGTTGGACAATGATTTCATCTTGGACATTTCCAGTGTTGATAGCTGGGTCCTGGTTCTCGATTAATAAAAGCTCATTCAGATTTCCAGACGTAACAGTGTTGCCAATGTCAGTTTGTTGACCAGGTTGTTGGAAACCACCTTCACCTTGGTAACTAGTGTCAAAAGAATCCTGATCATCTATGAGTAAAATTTCACCTTGATTCAAATCCTGCACATCAAGAATACCATCAATGCCTGCTGTTCCAAAGTCTGCTTGTGCAGGGCCAGAGCCAAGGAAGAGGCTTGTATCTGGAGTAGGATAATTATACCCAGTGTCCTGTCCCTGAGAGCCTCCTGTTTGTCTAGTTGATCCTTGGTTACTGATTCCATCCTGGATTACATTACTGACACCAAGACCAACATTACCTTGGTTCAAATCAGTACCAAAGTTTGGCAATCCCTGGCCACTCTGGCTTGAAACATCAGGGCCAAAACCGGTTTGCTGTTGATCTGACTGGTATTCATTTTGGTCCTGACCAGGGCCAAATCCTGGTTGTGTTTGGCCTGCAACAATTTCCCTTTGGCCAAACTGTCCGGGGCCTGTACCAAGTCCTCCCTGCCCTTGATTTGGATTAATCTGATTCTGACCTTGTCCAACATTTACCCCAGCTTGACCTTGGTCTGGACTGTATCCTCCTTGATCTTGGCCCTGACCTATTCCAAATTGCCCTTGGTTTTGACCTATTCCACCCTGATTTTGCCCTGGCACAGTATCAAATTGTAACTGATTTTGACCTATTCCTCCCTGACTTTGTCCTTGAGCTGGTTGATAATCAGATTGGACCTGTCCATTTATAAAACCAGGCTGGCCTTGACCCTGAATTGGACCAAATCCATCAGGAACTGCTTGCCCCAAATTTGTATTTTGTCTTAGACCAGCATTCCCTTCATTCTGATTTGGCCTGCGTTGATCCAAGGCTGTCTGGTCTATACCAATTCCTGGATAACTTGGATCTGTGCCAGTTTGACCTGGGCTTGAAAAACCACTCTGACCAGATTGACCTCCACGTTGACTGTCCTGTGTTGGTCCAACTCCTGGGCTAGATCCTACTTGACCCTGGCCTGAACCAAATCCTGTCTGTCTTTGACCTGCTTGGTTGAGCCCAGGTCCAAATCCAGTCTGACCTGAAACAAATCCATCTTGACCTGGGGTAGATCCTGTTTGTGTCTGCCCTGTGCCAAAGGTTGGCTGACTCTGTCCCGATCCAGTCTGACCTGGGCCTGAATACCCTGCTTGTCCAGAACCAAATCCACCTTGACCTGGAGTAGAGCCTGTCTGTGTCTGTCCTGTACCAAAGCCTAAACCAGGACCTGTCTGACTTGATCCAAAACCACTTTGTCCAGGAGTAGAACCAATTTGGTTCTGGCTTGGCCCAAATCCTGTCTGCTGCTGACCTTGTCCAAATCCAGTCTGTGTCTGACCTGGCCCAAATCCTATTTGTGTCTGACCTGGCCCAAATCCTGTTTGTGTCTGACCTGGCCCAAATCCTGTCTGTGCTTGACCTGGCCCAAATCCTGTCTGTGTTTGACCTGGCCCAAATCCTACCTGTGCCTGACCTGGTCCAAATCCTGCCTGTGTCTGACCTGGCCCAAATCCTGCCTGTGCCTGACCTGGTCCAAATCCTGTCTGTGTCTGACCTGTCCCAAATCCTTGACCTTGGTTAGTTCCAGTTTGACCAGGACCCGAGAATCCAGTCTGGTCAGAACCGATTCCACCCTGTGCTGGTGTAGAACCTGTCTGTCCTTGACTTGGGTTAAATGCAGCTTGACCAGACCCAAAGTCATTTTGTCCAGGAGCAGATCCTCTTTGGTTAGGATTAAAGCCTGTCTGACCAGAGCTAAATCCACTCTGACCAGGGCCGGGCTGTCTTTGATTTTGACCTAGACCAAAACCTGCCTGATTCTGACCTGGTCCAAATCCTGTCTGTCCAGATCCAAATCCACTCTGCCCTGGGGTGGAACCTCTCTGACCTTGACCAAATCCTGATTGACCTGGGCTAGAACTAGGCTTCTGAGGACCAAAACCACTCTGAGCTGAGCCAAATCCAGTCTGTCCAGGTTGCTGTTGACTCAGACCTAATCCGCTTTGGCCAGTAGGACGACCTGGTTCCTGTGAGCCAAATCCTGGGCCAGAAATGCCTTGTGCCTGGCCCAAACCTGAATCTCCAGTATTCTGCCCAGGACCAAATCCATTCTGACTTATTGCATTGCCAGATAAACCTGGTGAACCAAATCCTCCTTGTCCTTGAGTCTGTCTAGGGAAGTCTGCAACATTTTGCCCCAAGTTGTTTTGTCCAGGTTGTCCAGATGCAGAGGGACGGGGAAAGCCACCTTGTGTTGCGGGGAATCCACCCTGTGGGCCTAGTGATTCTTGGCCTCTGCCGGCTGAGCCAGGGCGTCCACCTCTAGTGCCTGCTCCCCCAGTCGAACCAGGGAATCCATCTCCAGTGCCTGCTACCCCAGACGAACCAGGGCGTCCATCTCTAGTGCCTGCTCCCCCAGTTGAACCAGGGAATCCATCTCCAGTGCCTGCTCCCCCAGTCGAACCAGGGCGTCCACCTCTAGTGCCTGCTTCCCCAGTCGAACCGGGGAATCCACCTCCAGTGCCTGCTCCCCCAGTCGAACCAGGGCGTCCACCTCTAGTGCCTGCTCCCCCAGTCGAACCGGGGAATCCAACTCCAGTGCCTGCTCCCCCAGTCGAACCAGGGCGTCCACCTCTAGTGCCTGCTCCCCCAGTCGAACCGGGGAATCCATCTCCAGTGCCTGTTCCCCCAGTCGAACCAGGGCGTCCACCTCTAGTGCCTGCTCCCCCAGTTGAACCAGGGCTTCCATCCCTTGAACCTGCTCCCCCAGCTGAGCCAGGGCGCCCATCTGCTGGTCTAAATCCACCTGTTGATCCTGGGCCTCCAAAAGCTGTATCTTGTCCACCTGAACCTGGCTGCCTGCTCCCCCAGTCGAACCGGGGAATCCAACTCCAGTGCCTGCTCCCCCAGTCGAACCAGGGAATCCATCTCCAGTGCCTGCTACCCCAGACGAACCAGGGCGTCCATCTCTAGTGCCTGCTCCCCCAGTCGAACCAGGGAATCCATCTCCAGTGCCTGCTCCCCCAGTCGAACCGGGGAATCCATCTCCAGTGCCTGCTCCCCCAGTCGAACCAGGGAATCCATCTCCAGTGCCTGCTACCCCAGACGAACCAGGGCGTCCACCTCTAGTGCCTGCTCCCCCAGTCGAACCAGGGAATCCATCTCCAGTGCCTGTTCCCCCAGTCGAACCAGGGAATCCATCTCCAGTGCCTGTTCCCCCAGTCGAACCAGGGAATCCATCTCCAGTGCCTGCTACCCCAGACGAACCAGGGCGTCCATCTCTAGTGCCTGCTCCCCCAGTCGAACCGGGGAATCCATCTCCAGTGCCTGCTCCCCCAGTCGAACCAGGGCGTCCACCTCTAGTGCCTGCTCCCCCAGTCGAACCGGGGAATCCACCTCCAGTGCCTGCTCCCCCAGTTGAACCAGGGAATCCATCTCCAGTGCCTGCTCCCCCAGTCGAACCAGGGAATCCATCTCCAGTGCCTGTTCCCCCAGTCGAACCAGGGCGTCCACCTCTAGTGCCTGCTCCCCCAGTCGAACCGGGGAATCCATCTCCAGTGCCTGCTCCCCCAGTCGAACCGGGGAATCCAACTCCAGTGCCTGCTCCCCCAGTCGAACCAGGGAATCCATCTCCAGTGCCTGCTCCCCCAGTTGAACCAGGGAATCCATCTCCAGTGCCTGCTCCCCCAGTCGAACCGGGGAATCCAACTCCAGTGCCTGCTCCCCCAGTTGAACCAGGGAATCCATCTCCAGTGCCTGCTACCCCAGACGAACCAGGGCGTCCATCTCTAGTGCCTGCTCCCCCAGTCGAACCGGGGAATCCATCTCCAGTGCCTGTTCCCCCAGTCGAACCAGGGAATCCATCTCCAGTGCCTGTTCCCCCAGTCGAACCAGGGAATCCATCTCCAGTGCCTGCTCCCCCAGTCGAACCGGGGAATCCATCTCCAGTGCCTGTTCCCCCAGTCGAACCGGGGAATCCATCTCCAGTGCCTGTTCCCCCAGTCGAACCAGGGCGTCCATCTCTAGTGCCTGCTCCCCCAGTTGAACCAGGGAATCCATCTCCAGTGCCTGCTACCCCAGACGAACCAGGGCGTCCATCTCTAGTGCCTGCTCCCCCAGTCGAACCAGGCGTCCACCTCTAGTGCCTGCTCCCCCAGTCGAACCAGGCGTCCACCTCTAGTGCCTGCTCCCCCAGTCGAACCAGGGAATCCATCTCCAGTGCCTGCTCCCCCAGTCGAACCGGGGAATCCACCTCCAGTGCCTGCTCCCCCAGTCGAACCGGGGAATCCACCTCCAGTGCCTGCTCCCCCAGTCGAACCAGGGAATCCATCTCCAGTGCCTGCTACCCCAGACGAACCTGGTTGTCCATTTGAACCGCCGAGTCCTTGATTAGGAAATCCACTTCCTGATCCTGCAGAACCACCTGCTCTAGGAGAACCTGGTTGTCCGCCTACAGATCCCGTAGCCCCTGAGAGTCGTGGGTTAC